CCGTGGGTAAGCGGATGTCGAGCTTCTAATTAAAATCGGATGACCCGTAGAAACGGTCCGTCGACAGTGTTCGGTGTTAGTTGCATATCAACGGTAACGCAAAGTCAGCCAACCAAAACCACAAGAAGCAAAGATAGTGAAGCGATAAACCGAACTCCGATTATGTCGCATCCAAAACTGCTTTGAAGAAACATATTATACGTAATTAAGAAAACTTTTGACATTTTAACTGCCACTCTATCTGAAAATAAAATTTATTCGTTATCCTTGATTAAAAAGTGTATTGACAGAGGAAATCGAAATATCTAGATAAGTAGACTAATGATTTCAAACAACGAATGGAAGGTAAGCATCGTTCTTTCTGATATACACTCACTAAAAATTACAATCTGGATTATATTAAGTTTTATGTTGGACTAATCTCTGAACTAATGTTGCGTAAACGTAGTAAATGAAATACTACGTAGAACTTCTATTTAAATAAAATTCTTCCTAACTCCAAATGGTAAAATGCTAACACAGTTCCACTTTAAAATTTGTCCACCATTTTTTTTTTGATACCATATATATTAAAGAAAAATATACATAATGTATCTCTTTGTTAATGTCATTATCTGGAACTGTATTACAGAGTTATCTGATGGTGTGCAGTTTAAATGACTCACTCCTTTTAACTTTATAAAGGAAATGTCTATTTATATTAGACCTCGCCGTGTAAATAGTCTCACAGTTTCGCGTGGAAAAGAAAACTCAAAACCCTTTCAACAGAGTGGTAACGATGGAACCGTGGCACGGCTTCAAGAACTTAAATGAAAATTTTATAAAACCGCAAAACTTTTACGTTTCATATTAATTAAATTTATATTAAAACGTGTAGCAAAGTACGTCTGTGGAGAAGCGAAATGTAAAACAGTAAGGGAAAACGGACTGTCTATGGTCAGACGTATTATGTGTCCCACCTAATGAAAATTATTACTGTGTAACATTTTGCAAATTATTTCTGTGAAAAAGGATTCGCATAGATTTTCAAAGATCTGCGCTGCACTTATAAATTTTAGGTAACGAAAGTTAATATTATATAGAGTAGAGTTGGAATTATTACCACTGTAATTAATTGTGACATGATAGGAATAAAGAGAACATTTGTCAATAATAAAAATTACACAAGAAATGGAGCCATTAGAATTAATGTAAGGCGGTGATAAATTGCAATCGTAATGTCTTTCTCGTCTTATAGATATAAAACCTCGGTTGTGTAAGATCCAATATTTTCAGGTGATGAAAGTTTTTAACCATTCAATGCTGTTAGTATCCTGTGATCTTTTTAAGTTAAATACAGAATTATTGCAATAATTCAATTGTAACGTGAATGCAATTATTACATATATACTACACGATGGTAATATCTTCTCTTTAAATAGAATCTGTTTAAAAATATAAGGACCATTACCATTTGTTTAAACACAATTTTACACTTGTATATTTAATTAATTTGAGAAATACAACGAAAACAAACTTATGAAAGCAAGACACCTGCCGAGAAACAATGAAATAACATTTATATAAATAATATAACGCCACTCATTGGATCAAGTTTTAAATCGTCGGTAACCGAACGAAGGGAAACTTCGGAAATTGTACTCGTCCAATTTGAAAAAACTAATTTCTACGGAGAGGACAATCATCGTTCACTGAATTGTATTTCGTTCACGGGATAGAGGTCCATCTTAAGCTTCCGTTTAAACGAAATAGTTGGAGTTCGAAAAGGAGGTCAAACTGAGGAATTTTCTCGCATGTCGAGGAAACTAATTTCAACAATGAAAAAGAACACGATTGCCGTTCAATCACGTGATTGAAGCCAATTGTAGTATAAATACTACAAACGACATCGCGATTTCGATAGGTTTCAAAGGACAACCCAGATGCTTGGCAGTGATACTACAAGGGTATTACCAGCGTCAGATCCGTTTAATTGTTGCCCAACAACGGTTGTCTTAATGCTTCGTGAGTAACCGGCGGCCTGGCTTTGGGAAATCTAGCTGGTCCTTTACATGTTTCGTGTAGAACAATAAGGAGACGATACTATGACTTTTCGTGAGGTGAAACAGAGTACAAACAGACGGAAATTAACATTAACTAGTCATTTTTACTCTTGGATTTATAATTTCATTCTAAAGTTATTGACAAATTTATTCACAATGCCTTTGTCGCAATTTTGAGTGACAATTATTAAAATAGAGAACTAATTGTAGCAAATATATTCTTTCGAATATGATAAATGTTTGTGAAAAGATTGAAAATTTTACAGTTTTCTATTCCCATTTGCAAGTTTAGAGCAACTTTCTCGAAGCTTTTCACGTGTAACAAGTCAGGGAGTAACTGTTTGAAATAGTCAATTTCTACTGATGGGTATCTTTTAAGACGTCTATTAGTAAATAAACTCTTCTAGAAGAAATTAACTTTTCTACAGAAAACATGTTTATTTCTCCTGGTAATTTTTAATCCTAGTAGGAGAGAAGTGTACCCAAACTATAATTTCAACAACGAGATGAAGGGCGTAACACTTAAATGATTTCATATTTCACGCTTTATTACAACCATATGTACCTTAAAATAAAAAATCGAATATACTCGACAGCATTAGTGTTCTATTAGAAACCCAAATTGTAAAGTCTCCTTGGGGAAATCCTTTATTAATATTTATTGTACCACTTTCTTAATCCAAAGTAAAATCTCGTCTAACTCGTTGCGGACTCCCATTGCCCTGCTCACTTGAGAGGAATCACTTTTCCATCGTTCTTCTTCATTTCCGGAAACTCGGCTGCGTTCGATCTATTTGTCAAACTTTCACGGTGATTTAAAATATTCCGCTTTAAACGTATCGTCCTCTAGCCGCGAGCAATTTCGTTGGCTGTTCCATCGCGCGTCAGTGAAACTGTTCAAACATCCAGAGCGGCGAGCAGAACTATCACCGGCGACAATTTTGTTTAATCGCTGTCTAATGCCTCTAATGTCTCGACCCTATACCTTTGTCTGTCTAAGGAAATTGCAGTATAGTTCTCTCCCGTAAGCCACATCGAGCGTAAAACTCGATTCCTATTACGAGGGGCTCATCCTGATCTCAATTTGACATTTCCACGAAATCTCCGAGAGCAAATATACAGTCCCTGAGTCGATCGGATATATTTATGGCGATAAACAATCGATATATAAAAATATATAACGATACATAAAAGAGAAATCAATGACTCAGAATGTACATAAACATATTAGGGGGATACTCTTTTAGTTTGGAGTGTTTGGACTAGTTTCGGGCCGATTGTTAGAATTTTTTTGCTGCCACAGTACTTGACAAAAACTTTGGAAATTCGGAACGTTCATTCGTGGATACGTTAGGTGTAGAAAGTAATTCTGTGCCTTTATAATCAGTCATTTACAACTCGAAATATTTGTTGCTTCGCTCCAATACAAGACTAGATACTATCGATATTTTTAAGGGGGACTTAAAAATGGAAATCATACTCTGGGCTATGATAGCATGAAGAAATCAATGATTTCGGGACGTACGTAAACAGATGATGGCGGTCCGTGAGCTCATTGCGCTACAAACCGCAGTGTTTGGTTAAGATTTCGCTGAACGTACCACATTCGGGATCTGCGCGATCCGTGGCAATCAATAAACACCAATAATCACAGAAGGTACGTATTCGTCCTTAATTGTGTTGACGTCCATTAACAAAGACAAATTCCGCCATAATCGCATAATTAGGAGACAAAGCACAGGATTTCTGGTAATAGGAGACTACTAGCGTCTACTAAAGGATGCGGAGAGTCGTATCAAATCTAAATTAGATATTTCTTGGTAATGCAAACGCGGATTTAGAAAATAATATTACTGAACCGCTCGATATTAAATGTATCGAGGAAGAAGAAAGAATAATTATATAAGTAAATTATACAGTATCAACAAGTATTGAATGTCTATGTTCTTTCTAAAAGCAAATTTTTATTGAATTCTAAATTTATATATAAGATAAATTCTACTTAACTATGGTTTTTACTTACTTAAATTTGCAAAATATAGATGTAGGTAATTTCCATCGAAAAGTTTCTTATTTTTATTGTTTCATAAGCGTTACGCGTCGACCTTCCGTCGGTCTTTCTGTGAAGTTGCCCGGACGAAACAAGCCAAGGCGTTTCATCATCAGCTAACAAAGGCTTTTACGCGCCAGAATAGATACTTTGATCATTTCGGTTTTAGCCGGATGTGCACGGACCGGAATAAAGAGAAAAGACGTAACTACCGGTGTGCCCAGAACTACGACTGACGCGCTACTTAGTACAACTTAATCCTTTTTAATTAAATGCTCTTTCGATCATCCCTTGCCCAATTTGTAAAGCACGCGAGTAACAATCCTTAGGACTTCTACGAATGAACTTGTAATTACAACAATCTGTTCTGCAAACGAAACGAATAATATTTAAAGCCAACTCTCGATGGTTTTGCATAAATTAATTCGAAATTTTGGTCATTATTAATGACCACTGAATTTTACAATTCATTTAAATCTGTCTTGCATTTGTTAATTTCATTGTCTGTGGTTCTTAATAATTTCAATGTATGGAATTTAACGATAAATTTTGATAAATGTCATTCTTTAGGGAACAAAACCTATATTTATCTATATAGACTTAGTACAGTTTTGCTAACTCTTATAGTAGGATAACAAAACCTTATAAGTCTTATTTTTCTAATTTCACAGTTCAGCCTGTGGAATGTTTGTTCAGCTGTGAAAATTTACAATGTTTTTCTTAATTGGAAAGAATATTTTTTAATCGAACTTCAGATGAATATGAAATATTTCGTTAAAAACTTATTGTAATTTATGGATCCAATTATAGTAAAAAGTAAATCTTGCAACATTTGAGGTGAATTCAATTATCTATAGAAGTACGTGATCATAAAGTATAAATATAAAATTAAATCGTGTAACACTCACCGAAGCCAATACCTCTTCGCAATGGATGTGTGGCAGCAAATAACGTCATACTGGTCGGCAATCCAAACAATCAATATGATGTAAAAAGCAGTTGTAGTATCGTTAAAAAATTCGGACATGATTGCCTCCATTCCTGCAACAGAATATCATCTTTATCAGTTACCAAGTATATTATAGTATAACCTTTATTAATTAACTCTTAACACTGACTCTTAAAATCTTAAAAGTGAAATTTTTTGAAAAACTTCTTTTCAGTATAATCCTGCATAATTTCATAACTTACAATGTAAATAATGTTTTCTTTTGTCAAATTGTGATTCGATACAATTATTCGTTAAAAAACTATCAAAATCATGTGCAGCATGTATAAGCTTACTTTCAGAATTTTAAATAAAATAATTGAACTATTTGTGCATATTTATAAAGTTTATATTAATTTTAATAACTTTATTCAAAAAATTTTCATAATAGCACTAATATGAAACATCAGAGAAATGACAATAACTCTTCGTATATAGATTTAATTTCAAAAGTTTAAATGAAATTTCTAAACTATTTATCCATGTTTATACAGTTGACATTAATTTTAACAACTTTACTGAAAAGAATTTTTATAACAATAGTCGTATGAAAAACCAGAGAAACATAGAGTGCCTATGATAACTGTTCCAAGATGTGTCTGACCATAGACACTCCATTTTCCCTGCACGGCTCACACTTTCTTACGTAAATATTTCGTATGAAATCCTTTAAATTTTGACTGGATGATATACTTTACATTAATCTGAATAATCTTTACTCGAAACAATTTTCAAGATACAGCACGTGTGAAAAATTACATAGAGATGTGGTACTCTCTAGACACTGCCATATGGCTGACCATAACGATCCTTTTCTACTTGAATGTTCTACTTTCTTTCTTACAAATCTCAAACAGAATTTCTATTATAATTAGACGTGTTTATGAAGGTAATGGAATAAAAATTAGACATTGCTCGAATTCGATGCCCTTGTGAAAATTTCGTTTACACGGAAGAAATTAGGAAAATAAAACAATCAAAAAAACCTAGTCCTTTAGACTTTCCGAGAGATTTTCCATATTTCAGACTCTGAGCCCAATAACATTGTATCATAAACCATCTAAATTGTTAATTCACAGAATGTTAGTGCCAGAGAAAGAAAGAAAGGGAATAAAGGCTCAAAAAAAAAAAAAAACAGAAATAAAAACAAAATAAATCGCGGAAATCGATACACGCAATCGTCTGCTATCAAACCCGCAGGCTCGTCCTATTAATCGAATAGTTTCCGCACGATTAAAAGTTCGTGGTACGGTGTGCAAGACTCGCTACATATAAATTTAATACCGACCCACGGGCCATTATGCTGTTAAAACAATACATTTGGCGCATTTTGCCGGGAGTTTTTATTGTTTCGTAGGCGTTGAACGTTAAATCTCACTTATCGAGTGAGGTATCGCGCAAGTTATTTCACTTGAAACAATTTTCCTTCAAACTAACTGCGAATGAAAATTTAGGTAGCACATAATCATGATCATAATGCAAAAATGTGGTAGGATTAATAACGATTTCTTCCATTACGAAGAGGACCCAAACCAAGATCGAAAGTATTGGTTCCTTAAAAGGATACACACATTTGTCACAGGTAAAAATCAAATATCTTTTTATTTAAGATTTAAATAGATATTTTAATCCGAACCGTGATTTTACAGTAAAAGTATTTTTACAGAAGTGAACACATATTCATCCAGTATATATATCGGAATCCTGTAATTACACGAAATCAAGAGCCCTGCATAAAACAGACGAAATTTTAAAGTTTGTTAAATAAATTTTCAGATAATAATACCTAATAGAAATTAAATTTCATTTTCATGATTTTGTCATTCTCTATAAGGTCATATCATTAAAGTATTGGCCTGCAGTCAAAGGGTTAATTCTTGGGAAAAAATCCTTAAATTTTTCCCATGACAACTGAGTATACCAAAATTTCAAATACATACTTGGAATCACTATAAATTCTTTCCTTTGAAAGTAATAAAATAGGAATACAAAAGTAAGTGAATACAAGTATTAAAATTAAAAGAAGAATAGCTAATTTTTAAAAGATGTCTAACGTAGCCAATTTTTAGTTAGATCTCATTCACAGGGAACACAATTAATCTATTAGAAGAAAAGTATAGAACACCGATGTATGCTCGCTGGCGTGTTTCCTAATGAATTGTAACGATATGAAACCTCCCTGGGGACCAAGCGGAAATAATAAAAGTATCCCAGGGCGTGCCGTGCCCAGGTCACGAAAATGCAAAACGACCAAAGCGAAATACGTCGCCTTAGGGTGATTAATGGCTACGTTAAAAGTTTTCTAGAAGAGAATCGAGACGATCCTCTTTTCGAGTAATTCGCTACATCCGCCATCAATTAGCATATCTCGAATCTTAAAAACGCGGAGGGACAAATCCTTTTCTCAGCCTACGACAAAACCGTAGAGAAACGGAACGTAAACAATACTTGAGTTGATTATAAGCATAGAGTGGCAAGAATCTCATAGCATAGTTTCAAATAAAGAATAAAACGTAAACAACTTTCGATCTGTTATTCGTTCAATAAAAATTACAATTTGAATTACATATTGAAATTGTATATTCTTTACCTGAATAACTGTTCGACTGAATAAACATTACGTTTCATTCATGACTTTATTACGATAATAAAATTCTGTTATCACCGTTCATGTGTCATGGATTCCAACAATGACGTTGACTGCATTACTCAATAGTGACTTAATTTATGAATATATCAAAAGTATTCTCTAAAAATATATTTCAGTTCTAATATGCGAAACCTTTTATATAGAAAAACGTAATAAATATGTATAACGAAGTCTCGCCGAAAATTTCGGAGAATCGTGCAATTTCAGGATCCGCATCCGAGGCCAATCGCTTCGATAAACAAGGGAATGCCTCGAACCACGAAAATAAGGGTTGGGGGGAACACAGCGGGGGAATCTAAAGAAAACCATTACCATCGCGTAATTACCTCCCCTTTGACCGAACGATATTTGATCTTTGGGGTACCTGACGTTTTGGTTTTCGAAAAATACCGCTGGAACGATATTAAACGAAGAAGAGAAAACGCCGATACGCACAAAAAGTGCCGTGGAGGGGGTGGTTGGTAGCAGTAGATGAAAGCACTCCGCAACGAGCAGAATAAATAGTTTCTAGACAGTGGATGAGACCTCGGATAATTAGTTTCTTGATCGGACACGGTGCGACAAAACGAAAAGAAAACAACGCCAGGGGAATGCTAATGAGTGTCCCCCAGCGGTTTACATCCCGAATATAGGCGACACCAGAATGGTACAAATAGATCGACGACGTGTCACATGTACCCTGAAAAAGTAGCGGCAGGATGAAGAATTATTCGTTAACAGCCTGGTTAGTTAATTGTATACATCGACAGACTATCCATTTGCGCCTGGAAGAGGTGACGTCATGATATATTGAACTAATCGAGTTATTCATTTGTTACTGTTAAATACATTAATGTTAGTCGTTGGTTGCTTGAAATAATAAACATTGTCAAACCTTCTAGTACAGGTAAAATAGGTATTATGTAAATGATGAAAAATATTTTAAATATACTCCTTATTTCGATCAGTGTCTAGAAACCGTTATTACTAATTGTCAATGTCTGAATAAGACCGTCTCATTCGGGGCTTCATAAAAATATTAATAGCATCGAAAATGAAGGTGATAAGAATGATTTTTTTGTTAAAAACTTTTCGTCAAACGTCATAAAACATTTGTCTAAGACACATTTATTCGTCACTTTAATAGTTTTGCCAATAGAATCAGAGATATGACACTTGCCAGAACAATAAATTTCATTACTTTATACTAAATTTTAAATTCCACCCATTAGAGGAAGGATATTATCCACAATATATCATTTTTCCAACAAACGTATTAAAAGCTTTAATTTGTTGAATTTACTTGAACATGATGGCTGCTACATTTTAGTGAAATGTAAACTGGAGAGCCGTTGATAATTTTAACGTTCACAATTTAATTCAAATTATTTTTCACTGTACATGTATCAATAAAACGTAAATAAATTTAAATTTTGTAAATGTGTTCTGTATGCCTATCGAAAGATATGATCCGGCATTACGAAATTGTAAAGAGCATTACGCACAATCAATATGTTAAACCGCACGCAATTAATATATATGTGAAGATCTTTTTGGGCAAGTACAATAAATAAATTTATCCGAAATATTTTTGTAAAATATCACCTTTCATGCTAACCACTGTATTCACACTTAATCTTAAAAGTTTTCAAAACTGTACATTAATTTTATTCGAAACGAGATATTAATATCATTTTTAAAAAAATTAATTCTACGTGCACAATGTATATTTTTGGATCCTTTGTTAATTATTGTTATCATCGTGTAGCTTGTTCTTTTAAATCATCAGTTTATAGGTTAATTGTTAACTCATGTTCGCTTCGAAAATTTGGATCCTAAGTGTACGCCATAAAAGCACAAAAGCAACAATCTTATAATTACATCAAATGCAGAGTGGTTCTTAAAACGTGAACACATGCTCAACATATAATCTACTTGTCAATACGTTTACGCTTGTGCAGCAATTAATTTGAAGTTGTACACATTGTAAAGGGTCTTCAGGATTTTGTCTTTTAACAAAATGCAAATGGAATACATCCAATTTATTTACTTCAAATGAAATGAAATAGAGAACGATATCCTCAAGAATGCAATCGAAGATCAATGTCACAAATATCATTGTTTAAGTAACAACTTCGAGACGCATTAATCAGTTAGACACAGGCCCCCGCCAAAATGATCTTAACGCCGGATAATGCGCGGATAATGCACTCATTTAAATGCATACTAGCCGGACATTACCTCAGCCCGGTAAGCCCCCTTGCTGCACGAGACCTGACCGAGTGTGCAGCAGAACTGCGCTTCGACATTTTCCTCTTCCTCTTGACTTTTATAAAGACGTTAAAATTCCTCGAGCAACTACGACGAGGGCTCGATAATCTCGGGCGACGCTGAAATTGCACGGGGAACGTTCCAATTTATGTC